TGCTTAAGAGCGACAAAACCATCACGAAAAGTGCTCTAGTATCTGCTAAACTTCCTCCTTGAATTCCTGAATTCAGTGTTGCGTGTACCTGGATCCTTCCGAGCACGAGACATCATCTGGCTTCGTAAGCACATGAAGATGAATCCACAATGGTGGAAAACGATCTCTTCTATAGGCAGCAGTTACATAGCACGATATCAAGTGTGGGAATTTCAGAAAGAATGCTATGGTATATCAGTTTTTGTATGTTTTGATCTCGTTATGAGGCCTCTTTCCAGGAATGTTTAAAACTTGGTCATGTATCTTTGGAGTTATGGACATCCCGGATATCATCACGAGACCGGAGTTGGTTGTGCATAAATTTAGCCTTGATCTTCAACCAGCGGGTTACATGTGCCTTTTGAAAGTATAGACATTCTCAACCCACTCTGATTTTATGATATTCTCAAAGTTTAGGAAATTCGGTATCGCAGCCATAATCCAGTTGACTTCGATGCTGTCAGCTATAGTGAAATGCCAACGGTGGAACTTCACAACGGAAAAAGAATCACGGAGTTGACACATCCTGAATGGTTGTTACAAAGCTCGTTTTATAAGTAGCAGTCGTTTTTGTTGGATAGATTATATAAAATTCTTTGAAGAGAACCGCACGAGTGCATCCAAGCCAAACAGTTTTGTGTGGAATGTTGATTGTTTTTATGTCCCTATAGTAATAGTAATTTGTTGAGATTGTACCATTGTGCGTGATTGCTAAGGAGAGAATTTATTTGCCCATGCTGAATCAAATTATATCACTTCATGAGAATGGCTTTCCCATAATTGCAGAGAAGACATTTGGAAGTCCTTAGTCGATTTTGCAGTGGAATCGTTTACTGCCAGAATCAGCCGTCTGAAAGTAGAATGTTGAGTTTATCTTTCTCTACGAGACATTATATGAAGGTATCAAAAAATAAAAATGAAAGAAAAAGCTCACTTTGACACCCATACAACAATTGGTTCTTGGAAAGAGACAAATATCACCGCCATCACAGGGCGGTGTATTCTGATCTGTACTATTTCCTCTGCAAATAGCACAACTTTAGAATTACAATATCACCCGGAGTTTGTCAAAAAGTCACCGAACTCCGTTATAGATCACCGAAATTTGCGTCATACCGCCATATCTTAATCCAGATTGGATGGATTCAAAAACAAAGGGCACCGTTCGACTCCGCTCGGCGCGGCGCATCTCCACGTACGTGTAGACAATGATTGATTGGGTAAGTTAGGTGCACGGTGGGAAGTCAGACTCCACCAGTTTATGTTTTTATGCTTTTCTAAGTGTACACATTTTGATTAATCAAAGGCAAATTCCTCTAGAATCTGATCTACCGTACCCACAAAACACTTCTTCTGCATCAGAAGATGCAGCTCTTCGAGCTGAGTCGAACGGTGCCTCTGGATCCAGAATTTGTCCACTCTCAACGAAGGTACGGAACTGCGACGCGGATTTCGGTAAATTCTGGTGATTCGGTGGCTTTTGGCGATTTATGCGTACCGTACAGTAGAAAATTACTGAAGATCAATACTTACACACAAGCCGTAGGAGCAGGAGTAGGGCACCCGTCCGGGCTTTTACATTCACGCGTTCTCGTAAATCTACCGCACAAACCGCAGGTATCAGAACATTCTGTACCGATAAACCATTCGGTCCATTCAGCAGTACAATCGGGACATAATTCCGTTTCCAGACGAGAACCACTGTAAACGAAAATCGTTATAAGATCCTAGATTCTGTAAAAACATACCTGCAAAAGCTCAGATCGTCTCCAGGAATGCAGACTCTTGAACGGCCACGAGAAACTGCACCAGAGCATGTCTGGAATTTTCGCAAAGATTGAAGAGAATGTGGATAATGAAGCTTCTTACTAACACTGCATTCAGCTCCCCATTCTCCCCAGGAATCCCAGGTTTGAGAATCAACATCCACGGCTAGGGATATGGCCAGAAACACAATAGCGGAGCAGTACATGCTCAAAATAGAAAATTGTCAACTCCTCTTTGTTTTTTCTTCTTTCAGTTTCCAAGATTCTGCCTCTCTGCAGTGACTTTTGCTTATTTCAACTCAAGAAAGACACCTACCTGTTTTTCACCCTAGGTCCAAGAGGATGAATAACAGCTTGGAAAGCGAAAGCTTTACGCAGCCGTGCTTTATACGGAATGCAGCGATGGAATTTCGACATCGGCCATGACAGCTACGATCACAAATCGTTTTTGTTTGGATCCAAGATCATAATTTTGCAGATCTTCGCTTTTGAACGAGCTTTGCGCTGAGGCCAAATTTTTGCATATGATGATCAAAAAACGCGAAGCAATTATAAAGTCGGATTCCAAATGTTTTCAAAAGTATAACTACAAATCAAGATTTCCAAAGAGATGGAAGTGCATTAAAAAAGAACCAACTGTATACTGTTGACGGCTCATTTCAAGTAAGGTTCTGGGATGGTACTATGAGCATAATCAAAATTTTGAGCTAACCAGGTTTGTTATGAATCTTTATTTAGCCTGACTTTTCTGCACTCATGCCTATTCGGGAGGCCCCAAAAGAAAGTCTCACATATATTTTGAGCCTTGCCTGGCACTGCGTACTGATTGGTTGAAACTACTTATAATACAAGGTGTCCCAAAAGTATGTATACACTGTTTATTCGTTAATATCTC